TTTATCGCTCTGGGATGCTTAATATCATAGAATAGTATGTGTGGTGGGGTGGCCTGGTGAAAATAGCCTGCCTATTACAATACATACCACACTTGATTTCTTACAATAAATACTACTTGTCTCACCCTAGATTAAGACTATAAATATTTTAAGGTAAGTAATGAGTGCACTATGTGTGTATTGTACCTTTTTATTGTTTTTTGATGCCTGGTTCTATTGCTAACTTAATATATGTTAGTGTAAACTTGTTATCTAGTGTTTGTATGCATTTATAAGTGGAAAAAAAGGGTGTTCCACTTTACGGCGATTTCCGCTTTACGGCGCTAGCCTGGAACCTAACCCGCCGTATAAGTGGGGCCTTCCTGTACGTATAAAGATACAGAACATATCCCTCCAAACTGCCAATATCCCAAGCTCCTCCTTTAAAATGCAGGCATTGTACTTCCCATTTCCAGGACTCAAGTCCGACTATATAAAATAACCGGCTTCCCTGAATCCCTTCACTAAATATTACCCTGCTCACACTCCAACAGCTCGTCAGGTCCCAAATACCATTCATCACCATATTTGTGGTTGTAAGAATTGTTTAGCATATTTACCACATTTTTGATAAGTAAACAAGTACTTATAATGGATACTATTTAATTGTTGCTCATGTTGTGTAGTGCCCTAGTGATAGACATGGTGTTTCGGCTCCTTATGAGTTAATACCTTGAGTATACCTGGAAGGGGGTTTCAGAGGTCAACATCCCCATTATCAGAGCTTATTCCTTGGGTAACGTTGAAAATGGGTTGGCATATATTTTTGTTAATGGGCTTGGGTTTGAGAAGGACCTGCCTAGTATGGGCCAGTAGGCCTGCTTTAGTGTTCCTCCTTTCTTATGTTCGTATGTATGTTGCAGATGAAGATCCTGCGCGTACCATCACGGAAGAAAAGGTGACTGTCAAGGTGCCTTCTACAGCCAAGGTGTGTATAAGTGGTTTAGAAAATCCACAAGTTGATAAATGAGGCACTTGTGCAACACCTGGGAATCTTTATTCTGGAAATGTTTCACCACACAGTGGCTTCTTCAGTCCAGTGCAGAGAAAGGTGGAAGATGAGGAGGAGTTTGAGGCAATCAGTCCCTCAGCCTAGAGTCAATGTATTCTGTCCATCAGTCTTGACAAACTCCTCCTCATCTTCCACCTTTCTCTGCACTGGACTAAAGAAGTTACTGTGTGGTGAAATGTTTCCAGTATAAAGATTCCAAAGTGTTGCACAAGTGTCTCATTAAATAAGGTAATTATAGGACGGTAGTAAATGCTGACAAGTAGAAGCAGTCACTGGTGGTGGACAATTCTTTATAAGACAACATTTCTACCACAGCCAGACTTTATCAAATACACAAAACTGTAAGAACACGATTGTTAGGAAACCATGAAATGGGTGGGTTTTGAACCCATAGTGAGTGAGAACTCACCATGGGTTCAAACCAACACTCGTTCCATGGTTTATCAAATATTAAAAAGCCTTGAGCAAGAAGTTGTAGTAAAATCATTCTCTGCTACCAGTGTCTTTATTTTGTGCCATGATAACAAATGTACAGTATTGAGAAATAAAAAGTCACAATACCATGACTGGAAGAATTCACAAACTTACTTTCACTTAAGAGAAGAAGTTCATGACTACACTTCAGTAGATCCTGAACCATTGTCAAGTCACGCTTGAGTGAGAAAAAGGTAGAGAAGGCCACAAGTCTGAAATGTCATCATGAGTTTTCTCTTCTAAGTGCAGATTATTAGTGGAACACACAGTATTATTATTATTATTATTATTATTATTATTATTTTTTTTTTTTTCAACAAGTCGGCCATCTCCCACCTAGATGGGGTGACCTGAAAAGAAAGAAAATCCCCATAATGAAAATACTTTCGTCATCATTCAACACTTTCATCTCACTCATACATAATCACTGTTATATATCCAAGGAGAAGCACTACAGCTGCATCGGTTATACAGCACAAGGCATACCTCGCTAATACGGCACTTTGCTTTAGAGTATGTACTTCATTAATGCGGTGCTTTTCATTATACGTATTCATGTTTATTATTTTCAGTGCTTGCCGAAAACAATACAGTACTGTAGCATTTTTTCATTTATTATTTTTACCTCTGCATCATTTTACTAGGGCTAGTGCTATTGCACACTTAATAAATGATAGTGTAAATAGGTTTTTAGGCTTTTATTTTCACTGGCAAGTGAAAAACGGCTGATTTGCTTTAGGGCAGCAGTCTGGGGCCTAACCCATTGTATTAGCCAGGTATTTCTTTATTAAGTTATGAATATTTATTCTAGAGTCAGAAATATATGATCATGAATTCATTTCATAACTGGGAATTGACTCGTGCACTTTTTTTGTGGGAAAAATATGAGTTTCGGGAAAATAAAAATTGATGAGAATTTAAAATGTTTGAGATTTGAATTTTCTCTTGATGAAATAAAAATTTGTCAATATTTTTCCATTTTGTGTTTAGTTAAAATTAATTGTCATGTTATTTATTCAGGGCGAGGCTACCAAACTACGAGGTCAAGAAGCTGAAAGCAATGAAGAAGAAGAAGAAGAAGAAGAGGAGGAGGAGGAGGAGGAGGAAGAGGAAGAAGAAGAAGAGGAGGAGGAAGAAGAAGAAGAAGAAGAAGAAGAAGAAGAAGAAGAAGAAGAGGAAGTAGAAGTAGTAAAAGTTGAACAGAAGGAAGTGGAAAAACATAAAGAAAAGAAAGAGGAAGTGAAAAATGTGCAAGTGAAAAAGGCTGTAGAGGAAGAAGAGGAGGAGGAGGAGGAGGAGGAGGAAGAAGAAGAGGAAGAGGCAGAGGAGGAAGAGGCAGAGGAGGAAGAGGAAGAGGAGGAAGCAGAGGAGGAGGAAGAAGAAGAGGAGGAGGAGGAGGAAGAGGAGGAGGAGGAGATACAAAAACACAGTGTACCTACCCGACAGCCACCACCAGTGACCAAGACTCCCCAACAGCCTTCAGTAACAGCCACAACTCTCACAGACAGTACAGCCAAAAGTGTCAAAGAAACAGCCACACCGGACACAAAAGATAACACCGAACAATTGCATCCGAAAACCGAGTGAAATCGTTTTTTGCTAAAAAGAAGGCTAGTGGCGAAATTTGTACAGATGAACATCATATAGGAAGTTACCTATTTTGGATGTCATGAACTGTATGTCCATTAACCATGTCCAGTTTAGATTTAAAGCAAATGCTAATATGCATTAGATATACAGGTGCTCCTTGACTTACGATGGGGTTACGTTCCGACGAACTCAGCATAAGTTGAAAATGTCATAAGTTGAATATGAATACAGTATGCTGAATAAATAAGTAAATAATGTTACTGAATAAGTAAATAAACAAATAATTACTGTAACTAACTAAATACCAGTATTGAATAGCAAATAAATGAATAAAAGTTATGGACTTACTACCTTTATGCTCGGTAATTATCTTAAATTTCACCTCCAAAGTAATTGCTTTTGTACCATCATAAAGTTGAGCCATTGTAAGTCAAGCAGCACCTGTAATGGCTTCTTGGAGCAAATATTGCTACAGTGATCCTCTCTAGTCTCCGACCATAAATGACTATTGCACTGAAAATCAAAGCAGGAACTGGGTCTGTTCAAGAAGGAGATGATTGCAGTTGTGATCCTCAGTGTACCTGGTCAAGCACATGTACGGTACGAGGTAACTTACCCACCAAACGAAGGCTTCACTATGGCAAGAGAAACCTCATGTTTGTTATGCCCACAATGTATATAATTCTGTGATAATAAGTGTCGGCTTAAATAACAAGGATAACTTTTCACCTGGTGAGTTGTGAATTGGTTCATTGACAGTATTTATAATAAATATTTGCATATGCCAGATGTGTCTAAAGTGAAATTAAGTAAATTTAAAAGAAATTTAAACTATAGATATTGAAATTCTAGTCTAGCAGGAGAACAAGGAAGGTGAACGAACACAATACACAAATGTAAATATTGTTTTGAAAAATTATTAAAATGTATAAGTGATACATAGGTTAAAATATTATGAATTATATTTTATTTTTTGTCTTTAAACTGTTGCAGTTTTTTATTTCAGAAGTTTTGTATAACATTAGAAATATCAGTTGTGCAATTAATTGTTCAGAAATACAGTGTGTCCACAAAATCCTTTTCCAATTTTCAATGTTTCTTGGAATAAAATGGTAACACGAAAATGCAGTTTTCTGCATGTGTTGGTTGTTGCCTCACACACAGAGCATCTGTGGTTCAGTCCCTGACCAGGTGGAAATGTTGGGCATATTTCCTTACACCTGTTGTCTCTATACACTTAGCAGTAAGTAGGTACCTGGGTATTAGTTGACTCTTGTGGATGGCATCCTGGGGGACAAGATTGAAGGACCACAATGGAAATAAAACAGACAGTCCTTAATGACACACTCACTTTCTTGGGTTATCATTGGTGGATAACTCTCCCTTCTAGGTTAAAAACATGAACATATTTTATCATGTCTAATCTATGTAACCTCAACATGCTCATGTCAAGTGCTCCATTATGCAATTAGTCGATACCCCAGTTTATACCATGTATTGGCCAACATGTCGATTCTGACTTATCTGCTGTCATTATTTATTATACTGCAATGTTTTAATGTCAGCTATTGGTATGCAAAAAGCATAATCCTTCACAAAACCCTAAAGATGTGATGTAAAGCCCATGCTTGGGCTTTCGTGCCAAGTTAACCTGTCGAAAACTTTGTCACGATAACCATACTGTTGTGTGACCCGAATAGGATTAGTGCTTAAACTGATTATTTTGTTTTTTTACACTATCAAGAGCAGAGACTTGCATTTTTGTACCTTATCATAGTATTGTAACAAATTTTAAAAATGAATAAAGTCCTTTGTTGACACCCTGTATGATTATAAATATTGAAGACCACTGATGAGCTCACAAAAAATATTAGTTTATTATATATGGGTACTGTGTTTCTTTGTAACTGCATTATAATCCTGGTTTAGCACTGTACTCTGGATATTTTATTTTATTTAACATATGTGGTATACTGCAGATATTATGTATAATGCGAGAGATTATGTGAGGCCGGATGATCGTGTCAATCAAGATGTCAAATAAGATTTTAGAGACTTAGATTGGAAAGTTGCAGCCTCATAATGGTCAAACAGTGCCTGAGGAATGTGTGGTAATCAGGTTTAGTCCAAGGAAATTGAGGGAAGCTCCAATTCCATGGATTAAGAAGGTTCCACACCTGGCCCTGGAAGGGCCAGAGAGGATGTCAGTGCTGTTGATTCCTCTTATATAAGATCTCACACTATTGCTCACTAATGTACTCACTAAAGCACTGGTACTCTCACAGAATACTGCACTCATAATTATCTGCTCTATATACTTTATGAGCCATACGAGTTGAGCGCATTTTGTGAAAATAATAAAGCGCTTTATTGTTAATGATGTTAGCAAAATCTAATCTAGTCTGATAGAAATTGTGACTGAAACACTCTGACTATTTCTGCATGAGTGCATTGTGTTCAGTGTATCTCTTTCATTAACAGGCAAAGTGACTCAATAATAGACCAGGATGGACCGAAACTCTTCTAAAAAATGTGTTTTTTTTTTTAATTGACCATATCAGCCAGAGCCAGGTTTAGGAAGGTCGCAATTTTTTGTCATAAGGTCCAGCATCCCACTGAGTTAAAATTAATGGCATCTGTTAAATAAACAGTGAAACCTATTGTAATGTGTGTGTATAATTATTATTGATAATTAGACACATGTACAACACTTGGGTATCTTTATTGTGGATACATTTTGCCACACAGTGGCTTCATCAGTCCAAGACAAAGAAGAATGGTGAAGATCAGAAAGAGTTTGAGGTAATCAGTCCCTTAGCCTAGAGTCAGTGTAATCAATTCATGAGTCTTTCAGTCTTTCAAGATTGACTTCAGGCTGAGGGACCAATTACTTCAAACTCCTTCTGATCTTCACCATTCTTCTTTGTATTGGACTGATGAAGCTACTGTGTGGCAAAACATTTCCACAATAAAGATGTCCGAGTGTAGAATATGTGTGTAATTGATCAACTTGTCAGTTCTTTGAACTGTTTATCTACATAATTATTATTACAGCACTGAATGCATGGTGAATCTGTATATAATAATATTAACAATGTTAATGTTACTTCATGGCAAATTTTACAAATCAGTCAGGTTTGACAGTATATCAAGAACACTGCTTAATTCCTATTAATTAAAAAATGCTCAAAAATTCATGTATCATTATAATTTAGACAAATATCAGAACATTTGACAAATATTTTTGCTGCATTTAGCCGACTGTATGCAAACATGAGGAGATATACGTCTTAATTTCAGAGCATCTGAAGCTTTTAATCAAGGTTAAGTACCAGTTAGCATCTCTTCCATTAGCTATTAATAAAATACAGTTTGTGATGGACGAAGGTTTCCATAATAGTTATCATATGTCAGCCTTGATTACAACCCATACTTCTAAGATAACACGTCTTTTACTGTTACTCAAGTCAGTCGGTAAAGTGACTGTCACACTCAAAATGCGATTGCCAGGTTTTTGCTATTGTGCTTCCTTGGTCCTCATGGTGGGTCCCCATTTTATATTTAGTCATGACAACATACTTGGAGTCTACCTGGAGTGTACCTGGAGGGTGTTCCGGGTTCAAAGCCCTTGCAGCCCTGTCCTTGACCAGGCCTCGTCACATCTTTGTGTGTTATTACATTTATTGACATATCATAATTGGTTAAATAACATTTACCTAACGTAAACAGCATATGTGGAAAACCTGGCTGCTTGAGCATATAAAATACCATAAAAACTATTGTTGGTGTTGGAAGGAGACGTTGATACAGAACCTTATACAGTGGTACCTCGAATTACGAACTTAATTCGTTTCTGGAAGCTAGTTGAGTGCCAGTACCGAACGAATTTGTTCCCATAAGGAATAATGTAAATTAGATTAATCCGTTTCAGACCCCCAAAAATACACTTACAAAAGCACTTACAAAAAATACACTTACATAATTGTTTGAGTTGGGAGGTGTTTGAAACTCAAGGTACCACTGTATATATAAAACTGACATGTACATAATCACTCAATGGTTACAATGCTGAGTTAACTTGTTGAAAATTGTATAGTAATTGTAGTTGAGTACCGTTTCCTCTGGCCATAGTTTACACAGCCGAGCCTGTCCACAGGCAATTTATAAATACAGTACTTACTATGTTATACTGTATACATGCACACAGTAATGCAGTATAATCGCAAACAGGCGATCTTAACAGTGCAGAACAAGCCACATTGAGGAGTTAAGCATTTCCACCCAGTGTGTCTTGCCCTGCATGTATACAGTCACTATAATTTTTGCATTTAACCTTTTTAGCAGCACTGACAGATTAATTTCAGGTTTTTATCACCATATTTGCTACTTTTTGTAACCCACAATATACAGTGTATTCACATATTAATTTTCTTATAATACCTAAAGCATATTTTCTGGTTAAGTCTGTCAAAGTTCCTTAATTTGTGTATGTTCGTCCTCGACACAAATGTCGTTGTAGCTACTTTAGTGGAGAAGTGAAGTGCGCAAGAGAGTATTAGCATTTTTTTTATGTTATGAATAATATAATTAATGGAGTGTTATGGGTTTTATGCAGAATGCACGTTTGTATGATTTTTTTGGGGAAAAGCAAAACTGACTTTATAGGATTTTCTGTCAAAGAAGAACTCCCTCTGAAAGACTAGTGAGTCTTAAGGTGAAAACTGAAAGCCAGCCATATCGTATTCACTGGCAAATTCAACAGTGTTAAAAAAAAGCCCTGTGACATAAACAATAGACTTTTTTCTACCAGGTTTGACAATTGATATGAAAAATTTCAAACTTATTCAATGTTACATAGAATTAAACTGGATAATCTTATATTGCTCAATTTTTTTTAATACAGTAATATAGTACCATACACTTATAAAAACAAATAAGTTAAAACAAAATGTAGATATAGCTTGGAGAATCCCGGGTAACTCAGTGACGTATTTATTTTCCACGTAGCTTCCATTTATTTCCAAAATAGTATTTTATTAAATGTTTATACACTCTGAATTTATCCCTAATAGAGCGGTATGACTCGTTTTCATCATTGCCAATAATTGTAGTGGCTTATTGACTTTCGTTATTCGTGTTTGTAATCCGATTGCACCATGAAATGATCCCTAACTTTAACCTGTTTTCACATAAAACATATTGTTTGTCATCAGGTTTTTTCTGATACCATATGTGAGGCTTGTAGTAAGAGTGAGTCCTGTAGAGCACAAGGAGCGGAGACACAATAATTGGTTGGTTTTGGTTTAGTGTGCAGTAGTAACACAAACAATATTACTAGTCACTTACTATCTAGTCCAAGAGTATCTGGTCAGTAACTGTTCATGTGTTTACACAGAAAGATTTGTGAATCTGTACGTATTAAGTTAATAAAATATATCATGCCCTAGCTTTTTCATTTATCAGAATGTAAGACTTTCTCACTAAATATGTTGGCTACAGTAGAGTATGCTGGAGTGAGGGTGCTTAACATTTTTAACGATTACAGATTCCCATTGGACTGCCCAATATGTCTCCATACCCTGTTTGCTAGAATGTGGAAATCATCACCACCAGTCCTCTTAAGTACCAGTAAGACTTCAAAAGAAGTCAGTAACTTGGTTTTACTTTACATATAGATAGCTAGAAACAGAAGAGTTTTTTTTTTTTTTTTTTAATTTTTCAGAGATTAAGTCTCATACCCCCATTATTTGGTTTCTTATGGATACCCCTGGTTAAGAACCCCTTCTGTAGTGCGTAGCATACACAATACTATGTGTGTTGAGGCTTTATATCCATAAAACAAAAGTTTATTTCTTTGCTAAGGTACAATGTGTTTTCCTGGAGTTTACCTGGAGAGAGTTCCGGGGGGCAACGCCCTGGGGGCCCGGTCTGTGACCAGGCCTCCTGGTGGATCAGTGTTTACATTTCATATATAAATTTGGTTGGTATAAAAAAAGCCACTATCATGCCAGTTGTATAGTAACTGTAGTTGAGTACCATTTCTTCTGACCATAGTTTACATGGCCGAGCCATGACAGTTCTCGATGGTGCACTGACCTGTGTAAGCATGTTTAAGAGTGAGAGGAGACTTAATGGACATGCTGTTGGAGTGTGAGCAAGGTAAGTTTTATAAAAGGATTCAAGGAAACTAATCAGCTGGATTTGAGTGCAGGAGGTGTATAAATATTGACCAGAGCTTAGAGTCACATGAAATACCAGTTAATCAATTATTACAATCAAACCTAAGTGCTAAACCCAAAAGAGTCATATGTACAATATCAGAGACCTTTAAAAGTACTGCTTTAACCCCCTTTTGACAAAGGAGCCAGCAGTGTAATAGACTAATATTACCAATATGCACTCACCTCATACACTCCCCTCAAGGAAAGTTCCTTGACATTGGAACCCACAGGCGCTGTATAATCCCTATGGGTTTAGCGCTCCCCCATGATTATTATAATAATCACCTCACACTGAGTGTCTATGGTTCAAACCTCACCAAGGGTGGAAACGTTGGGCACTTAAGAGTAAGTAGGTATTAGTTAACAGGAGTGGGTGGCATCCTGGGAAATAAGATTGAATGACCACAATGAAATAAGACAGTTCTCAATGACACACTGACTTTCTTGGGTTATCCTGGGTGGATAACTCAAGAAACTAACTAACTGCTCTGAGCACACTAAGAGATCACAATAAGTGTCAGGGGCCCAAGACTGTTCAACTGCCTCCCAGGATACATAAGGAGGATTACCAATAGACCCCTGGCTGTCTTCAACAAGGTGCTGGACAGGCACCTGAAGTCAGTACCTGACCAGCTGGGCTGTGGTTCAGTATGTCAGTTTACATGCAGCCAGCAGTAACAGCCTGGTTGATCAATCCCTGATCCACCACTATGCCTGGTCCTAATACTGATCCTTGTGGTACCCTGCTTGTTACTCTTCCCCATTCTGATGCCTCTTCCCAGACAATCACACTGTTTCCTTCACCAAAGGTACTCCTTGATCCACTGGCAGTTCTGTAAGACCCTTACTGGTTTAGTACTTAGTCATGATTATAATAATTTAATCTACCGAAGTACGTTCCTTGTTATTCCTGCCTCCACCTCAAGTGTTCATTCCAGTCTCTTGTGAGGTACAGTATCAAATACATTCTTGCAGTCTAAGAAAATGCAGTTCACCCAACACTCACATTCTCTCTATCTCTTTCTTTCCTGTCTAACTTATATTACTTTGTCATGTATGCATGTAGTGACTATGTAATGTATGTACATATGTATATATGCATGTATGTACAATGTACATATACATGTATGTTAGTATGTACTCACCTATATGTGGTTGCAGGGGTCGATTCAGCTCCTGTATGCATGTGTGTGTATGCATTTATGCATGTAAAATTTTGTGTATGGATGTATACTTGTGTACTCACCTAATTGTGGTTGCAGGGGTCGATACTCAGCGCCAGGCCCTGCCTCTTCACTGATTGCTACTAGGTCCTCTCTCTCTCTCTCTCTCTCTGCTTCCTGAGCTTTGTCATACCTCGTCTTAAAGCTATGTATGGTTCCTGCCTCCACTACTATTCCACTAGGCTATTCCACTTCCTAACTACTCTATGACTGAAGAAATACTTCCTAACATCCCTCTGACTCGTCTGAGTCTTCAACTTCAAATTGTGACCTCTTGTTTCTGTGTCTCATCTCTGGAACATCCTGTCTCTGTCCACCTTATCTATTCCACGCAGTATTTTGTATGTCGTTGATCATGTCTCCCCTGACCCGCCTGCCCTCCAATGTCGTCAGTCCGAGTTCCCTCAACCTTTCTTCGTAGGACATACCCCTGAGCTCTGGGACTAGCCTTGTTGCAAACCTTTGCACTTTCTCTAATTTCTTGATGTGGTTGACCAGGTGTGGGTTCCAGACTGGTGCTGCATACTCCAGTATGGGCCTAACATACACAGTGTACAGTGTCTTGAACGATTCCTTACTGAGGTATCGGAACGCTGTTCTCAGGTTTGCCAGGCACCTGTATGCTGCAGCAGTTACCTGGTTGATGTGCGCCTCCGGAGACATGCTCGGTGTTATACTCACCCCAAGATGCATATGTATACATACTTATACATGAACGTGTGTATAACACTGGGTACGGGAGAAGAACGAGGTGCTGACCACATCACAAATAACACGAATATTATCTGCAGTGTTATAATCGTCTACACTGGACTGAAGAAGACTGCTGAACATGCAAACGTTCCACAAGCCTTATTAAGGACATAAGAAAGAAGAAGCACTGCAGCAGGCCTTTAGTCATAGAGTTGTCAGGAAGTGGAACAATCTGGAGAGTGATGTTGTGGAGGAAGGATCCATACATAGCTTTAGGAAGAGGTATGATAAAGCTCATGGAGCAGGAAGAGAGTGGACCTAGTAGCCACCAGTGAAAAGGCGGCTACAGGAGCTGTGTCTCGACCCCTGCAACCACAATTAGATGTGTACAATTAATGTGTACAATTAGGTGAGTACTAACCTAAGCTAGTCAGGTCCAATTCACACTCACTGGTGTATTTAACTTAAGCTAAAAGAATCCTTTAGGAGTCAGGAATCGCGGGAAGAACTAAAAGCTATAAATGAAATCGAAAGAAACCCAATGTATTTCTTTCCTTGCCAAATCAAAACGAGAACAACGCCTGTTTGGGCCCTACTTAAACAAGATGGTCCTAACAGTATGACAGCAGGAATGAGTGAGTACTCAAGGTCCAATTGCCCCCGTTTTTAGCAGCGCTAACCAGGCTGGAGTGAGATCAAATTACTGAACATTTTTATGGAGAGAGCACAATTGATTAACACAAGCCTATCGATGTTATCTGACGCAAATGACTTCGAACGGCGATAAAGCCCATGGCCCTCATGCACTCTGCCCACAGGGCCTGATCATGGGAACTCTGGTTCATCAAGAACTGCAAAGAAACCCCTATCAAAAGAGAGCCTTTCCATTCCTATGGAGAGGGACATGGACACGGGGGTTCGTCCCTCATTACTAAAAACAACAGACATGCCCCACTCCACAAAGGGGGCAGTAAAGCAACAGCAAAGAACTACAGACCAATAGCACTAACATCCCATATCATAAAAATCTTTGAAAGGGTCCTAAGAAGCAAGATCACCACCCATCTAGAAACCATCAGTTACACAACCCAGGGCAACATGGGTTTAGAACAGGTCGCTCCTGTCTGTCTCAGCTACTGGATCACTACGACAAGGTCCTAAATGCACTAGAAGACAAAAAGAATGCAGATGTAATATATACAGAACTTTGCAAAAGCCTTAGACAAGTGTGACCATGGCGTAATAGCGCACAAAATGCGCGCTAAAGGAATAACAGGAAAGTCGGTCGATGGATCTATATTTCCTCACTAACAGAACACAGAGAGTAGTCGTCAACAGAGTAAAGTCCGAGGCAGCTACGGTGAAAAGCTCTGTTCCACAAGGCACAGTACTAGCTCCCATCTTGTTTCTCATCTCATATCCGACATAGACAAGGATGTCAGCCACAGCACCGTGTCTTCCTTTGCAGATGACACCCGAATCTGCATGACAGTGTCTTCCATTGCAGACACTGCAAGGCTCCAGGCGGACATCAACCAAATCTTTCAGTGGGCTGCAGAAAACAATATGAAGTTCAACGATGAGAAATTTCAATTACTCAGATATGGTAAACATGAGGAAATTAAATCTTCATCAGAGTACAAAACAAATTCTAGCCACGAAATAGAGCGAAACACCAACGTCAAAGACCTGGGAGTGATTATGTCGGAGGATCTCACCTTCAAGGACCATAACATTGTATCAATCGCATCTGCTAGAAAAATGACAGGATGGATAATGAGAACCTTCAAACTAGGGAGGCCAAGCCCATGATGACACTCTTCAGGTCACTTGTTCTATCTAGGCTGGAATATTGCTGCACTCTAACAGCACCTTTCAAGGCAGGTGAAATTGCCGACCTAGAAAATGTACAGAGAACTTTCACGGCGCGCATAACGGAGATAAAACACCTCAATTATTGGGAGCGCTTGAGGTTTCTAAACCTGTATTCCCTGGAACGCAGGAGGGAGAGATACATGATTATATACACCTGGAAAATCCTAGAGGGACTAGTACCGAACTTGCACACGAAAATCACTCACTACGAAGCAAAAGACTTGGCAGACGATGCACCATCCCCCAATGAAAAGCAGGGGTGTCACTAGCACGTTAAGAGACCATAAAAATAAGTGTCAGGGGCCCGAGACTGTTCAAACTGCCTCCCAGCACACATAAGGGGGATTACCAACAGACCCCTGGCAGTCTTCAAGCAGGCACTGGACAAGCACCTAAAGTCAGTTCCTGATCAGCCGGGCTGTGGCTCGTAC